ACATCGGTAGCCCGGTGTGGTGGGAGCAGCTGCTACGGCAGGAGGGCAAGTACCCCATGCGGAGTGACATGGCCCTGTGGAAGGAGCACCGGGACACCCGGCATCTGCCCTATGGACCCTTCACCGAGTGAGTCCTGCCCTGGCTGTGCTCTGTGGGGCGGCAGGCACTCCTGTCCCTTCCTCGGGTGTAGGGTCTGGGTGGCAGCTCGCAATGCTCCCTCTCCTGCAAGCAGCATGTCCCCCCAAGCAGGGCATGGCCATGGAGGGTGGAAGGAGCTCTGGGGTGGTTCCAGCCAGCGTGGGGAGGATGCACCCAGGGGTCGGGAAACTGCTGCCAGCCATGCCCCCGGCGCTGAGCCCCGTCCCCACGCAGGGAAGGGGAGCGCTGGTACCGCCTGCGCCAGGTCCTCAACAAGCGGCTGCTGAAGCCCTCGGAGGCGGTGCTGTACGCGGACGCCATCGGGGAGGTGGTGTCGGACCTGATGGTGCGGCTGCAGGACGAGCGGAGCCGCAGCCCCTCGGGGGTGCTGGTGGGGGACGTGGCCAACCTGCTCTACCGCTTCGCCCTGGAAGGTAGGGGGGTCCTCCCCCTCCCCCTCGCCCTGCCCCACTCTCCCCATCCCTGCGGGCATCTGGATGCAGCCTGTCCCCCACAGGGATCTCCTATATCCTCTTTGAGACCCGAATTGGGTGCCTGAAGCAGCAGGTCCCTGCCGAGACCCAGCACTTCATTGACTCCATCAACCTCATGTTCAAGAACTCCATCTTCGCCACCGTCCTACCCCGATGGAGCCGAAAGGTGCTGCCCTTTTGGGACCGCTACCTGGACAGCTGGGACACCATCTTTGCCTTCGGTGAGCGTTGACGATGGGGGCCCAGTGCAGTGGGATCAGACCCTCAGAAGTGGGGCAGTCCTCATCCACCTGTCCTTTTGGCCACCCTTGCTCTGTCAGTGCCGGGTCCTGCTCTCTGTCCTCACAGGCAAGAACCTGATTGACCGGAAGATGAAGGAGCTGGAGGGGCAGGTGGAGGGGGGCAAGGAGGTGTCCGGCTACTTGACCTACCTGCTGGCCA